TAAACAGGGACACAGGAAGTACCTCCCTCTCTCGGGGAAGCTAGGAGCACTGCAGGAGGTAAGATTTTATCTCTGAGCTCTGACCTCTCGGCTTTTCTCTTTTACCTTGGCTCTGTGTTTCTTATTTTAATAATACGATTGGTTACATCTACATCCCCCTGGTTTTTCTGGAGGAAGAAAAGCCTGCCAACACTTGATTTTATCTTCAACAGATTTCCTTGGGACTCTGACCTCTAGAAAAGTGAGGTACTAAGTTATTTGTTTGAAGCTATTCTTTTGTGATAACTTGCTATCCAATGTTAGCAGTCACAATGACGACAGTAACGACAGTGCCCGCATGGGAGCATAAATGCCAGCTGATAATTCTAAGTGTGAACTGAAGCTCCCAGAAAAGAAATCCAGTCCTACCTTGAAGGTTCTACATGATGGCTGACTAGACTTTGGGAACTGTGGTCAGCTGGGATGTTAAAGATTTAGAGCCATGATGGTTACTGATCATCCACGTCACCGAACCTAGAAACTGGTGGTTCTCCAGCCATGTCTGGAGGGAATCCCAGGATTGGATTTATTGCTGTGAGAAGCCCCTCTCTGAAGGTTGGTATTCCAAGGCGAACGTCCTGAACTGAATGAAAATGAGCTGAGCACCAGCATTTATCTGATTGCGGATGGAATATGACCAGCCTCACTCTCCGGCCACTGTCTCCTGGCCATGAAGAAACATATCCCTGTGAATGGAAAGACAACCTTTCTTCCTCAAGTTGCTTTTTGTCACAGCGACATTACAAGCAATTCATATGGAAAACTGGTACCAAAAAATGGGGTTATTGCTGGGGTTATAACCTGACCCTGCGATTCTTGGGTTCTTCAAATTAGCTTAGATGAGGAACGTGGAAGAATTTGGAACTTGGTGTAGTGGGTAGCCGTTCCAGCTTTGACCTGGAAGTACTACTCCCATTGAGGCTCCTGTCTCGGCCCCACCTACACTACAACTTGGGACAAGAAAAAGTCCTAGAATACTATAAACAGGGCTTAATGAGCCATTTTGATGGGGATTTGGAAAAGAGGCATGTCGAGAGCAATGTGGGCAGAAGCCCAAATGATGAGGCTACAAAGGAACAAGGATGCTTTTAGGAACTGGGCTCAAGGCCACAGATGTTATATTATGAAAAAGAAACTGTTTGCAAGCCGTCTGTGTCCTGGCACCTTCAGCAAGGCTGAACTCAAAATTAACAGACTAATTTGTTTGATGGAGTAAATGTCAAGACAGGATAGCATTCAGGCTTTGGCATGGATACTGTTTACTGCTCTGATCCAGGTCTTCTGTGATAGAGAGCAAGAAAAGGAACAAATGGATATGAAAAAAATATGGTGTGGGCTGGTTCTGTTCTGCAACAGAAAATGTTTAAAGTTGCAAACAAACGCTGGAGAGTTAAGAGAGTGTATTGCTTTTGCAGAGTTTGGGTCCCAGAACATTGGGTTGCTTACAACTGCCCATAACTCCTTCTGCAGGGGATCAGGCACCACCTTTTGGCCTTTGCAGGACCTGCACCCACATGTACATACCCATAGATGTACATACACATGTACACACACCCCCACACATACCTTGGATAAAATGCTAATTGAGTTCTTGCAAATCTGTTGGCTCCTGGCCTATAGTACAGGTTTCAGAGAGGTTCTCTCTCAACACCAATACTTCATGAGGATGCCATTCCTTCATACATTTCTGAGGCCCACTAGTGGCTGAAATTTGCCCAATATAGCACCTTTGGGGTCTTTCTTGTGCTCCAGTCACTTGTTTCCTGAGTATAGTTTCTAAAATGCTTTGTAGGAAATAGAAGTGTGTTCCAAGGAAGGGGTGTGCAGTGGTAAGAGTCTAGGCAGAGAGAACAGCTGAGGAGGCTGAATGGTGTATAACTGGTGTTTTTTTTGGGAAGACATAAATAAATGTCTACTAATCTTATCTAGGGACCAACGGAAAGAGAAAGCAGTAATTCTATCAAAGTCCAACTTGGCAAGACAATAAATTTGTTGGGGGTTACTTATAGGAATAAAGTAAAGGAATATGAATGACTCAGGGGCAGCTGCTACACTAAAAAACCACTCTAATCTACAGGGCTGGAGCTCTGTGTATGATCCGAAGGCTGCTCCAGCATTACAGAGCAGGAGCTCTGTGTATGACCTGCAGGCGGCTCCAGTATTGCAGAACCGGAGCTCTGTGTATGACCTGCAGGCGGCTCCAGCATTACAGAGCCGGAGCTCTGTGTATGATCTGCAGGCAGTTCCACAGCCGCAAGCCTCCCCCAGCACTTGTCCGATGGCTTGCTGGATCATGTAGACTTCAGCTTTCCCAGATTTGTGAGGGCTGTTTACTTCCCGAGTCTTCTAAGCATCCTTCTTGCTTTAGGAGGCAATATTTCGACCAGAGGAAAGTGCCACACAGCAAGGGAAGCATGGAGGGACTGCCTGGGGACTCTTACTGCTGCTAGTGCCTGGCAAAGACAGATGGCATTTTAAACCCTTGATGCAATTCCTATCTATGTTCCAGCCTTCCTGGGTGCAATAATGCTACCACATGGAAAGAGCATGTTAGTCAGCAATTGAAACTGAACTTAGAGTAAATAAGTACCTATTTTGTCCACAAACAAAGCAAAAGGAAATGCCTCTTCTAAAAAACAAGTATTTCAGTGTGTCAGCAACACTTGGAGCTCATTAGTATAACTCATTACCACCTATCAGCCCTATTCCAACACTTGGCTGAGAGAAAAGCATACCTCCAACTTTCCCTGGGGTCCTGCTTTCAACCCTTACATAAGCCAGAGGGGAATTCTTAAGTTCAGACCTCCTGTTATTTTGTGCATTTTGACAAGAAGAGCTGGGATTATGCATTCATGGTTCAGGATTTATTTCCATTATGATTACCAAATGGGACAGCCAAGGTGGTTTCTGCTGGAGTCTGTGGGCCTTGTTTTGGCCTTTGAGGACTTGAGTAACCCCAGGCCAGGGTGAGGCAAAGCACGTGGCTCACCTGAGGATGCCTCTTCCAGTGTCAAATCCAAGCTCTGCCTGAATGTGAAAACCCACAAATCTTTAACTTTGCGCTATCTGCTGCCCTGGACTTACAGGAAACTCCTGTGTAAGGTTACTTTCTTGTTGCCCTCAGTTTGGTGGAATCACATGAAAATGAGATTTTCACTTTTGAAATACTTTAACAGGCAGTAAATGGAACTGCTACTATAATTCTTAAAGCACACAACAAGCTTAATGAAGCCAATGGACATTTCTTGGCACCCAGAGAAACTGGCTTAAAAAAATTTCACTGAATTATGAACTTGCTTAAAAGCTCTAAGATGGAAATCTTGGAGCAGCCTGCCACCTTCAGGATAACTAACCAATTAACTCAGAGAACACAGGTTTTCGCTTCTATATATTACACCTTCCGATACATTCGTTATAGTGGTCACCAGAGAAATGTTTCATGATACACAACAGTGAGAACTTTACCCTCTAATGTTTTTCCCTATGATGGTGGTGCAGTCTAATTAATAATAGTCATTTAGAAAATTAAATCTCCCCGTTTGCTTTAAATTGGTTACACACAACCAATCTATTTCATTTAATCAAACAGGCTAAGTTTTTGCAACCGCGGTCTAGGAAAATATTATTAATTAGGAAACATATTTTTTTTTGTTGGTAGGCTTTAAAAAACTTATGGGTCAATCACAGTATTTCTTTATGGGTCAATTTCACTATTTCTAAATAATCTTAAATAAAATCTGTATGAGAGGAATCCATTCAGAAATGAAAAGGAAGAAAGAAATGAAGGGGTAGTGGGAGAGGAGGGGAAGGGAAGAAAGAATATGTTTATTTTTTCCAAATACACCATTAAAGCACAAGTTACACCAGGCTCAATCAAGATTACTCAGACTGAGAGAGGCAGCAGAGCAGAGGAATGGGACCGAGAAGAGCATCGGTGCTCATGGAGGAATAGGTCAAATTAGTGGAAAGAAGAGAAAGCTTAAAATTCATAGCATTAGGAACAATGTGACCGGAAAATGGGTGTAAAGACAGTGGAAGAAGGAAACAAAACAAAAAACTGGAGTGCATAGGCAAGAAACAGGACAATTAGAGCTGTCAAAGTGGAAAAGCGGCTGCGAACAAAGATTCCTCATTTTCGTTTCTCAAAAGCAGCGGCAGGTAAGTTCAGAACCTTGCCCCTCTGCCCTGCCCTTTGAAAGGGTTGCAAGATCTCCGCCCTAGACTTTCTCAACCCGGAATTTTGCAACCGTGCGGTCCCGTGGGCTGCTGCAGCCGCGCGGCTGGCTCCCTCACCGCGAGCGTCCCTGACAACGCCGACACGCGTCGGGTCCGCGCAGGCGCCC